CATCTAGAATATATTCCCTGGTAAAGGAGTATTTGGCTTTTTAGGGTTTTGAACCCTAAACACTTAATTGTGTGTCTCTGGAGATCTGGGCTCAGGAGAGCTTTCAGTTTAGGAGCCCAGGCCAAAGGTTTAGGGTTTAGGGGTTTAGGGTTTAGGGGTTTAGGTCTCAGGATTATGTGGGTACTTGCTCAGGCTTTTCTTTGCCAGTTGGTTCTCCATTCTTGGTGATTCCTCCGGAATCTACAGTGAGGACTTTTTATTCTGCTGAGATATTCACACGCTCTAGGAACGGTCGGGCATATGCTGCCAAGTTAATCAGAATGAATTCAGCCCCTAGAGTCCCCATTAGAAAGAGATAGAATATGGCTTGGGGTATATTATAATAAGATCCCCATATACCCTGCCATATTCCATCTGTTTCTGAAGTGGACTAGATAGAGATAGAATATGGCTTTGGGTATATTATATCCCCATATACCACCCCACATATTCTATCTATTTAAGGAGGACTATAAACCCTACAACGAGGGAAGGGGTTTAGGTTTGAGATCCGACATGGTCTGACGGCTTCTGCCTGAAGATTTCACATACAAGATGGGAGCTATGTGGATGGTTGTCAAAATATGGTCCCTTTTTGGATCCCTGTTATAATACGCCACCTAATATTTAGGGGTACCCAAAAAGGGACCCATAATTTTGACAACCACCCATGTGGTAGGATGTCAAAATTGTGGTCACCTTTGGGGTCCATGATAATACGGCCAACATTGTGACACCCCTGATGTTCTCAAAAGAGCTGCATATCCTCGGAGGGCGGGACGCCTCGCTGACCCTAGACCCCTAAACTCGAAACTCTATGCGAGCAGAGCTCCGGTGAACCCTGAATCCTAAACCCCTAAACCCTAAACCCCTAAACTCTAAACCCTAAACCCTAAATAGACGCGACTCGCTGCTGGACGGAAAACACCTGCGACCTCGACCCCTGAAGCCCAAACTGTGCAACCAAACCAAGGTTTCGAGAAACCCTGAGCCCTCACCCCTGAGTTATATGTGCTGTAGTCTAAACTCCCTCAAGGGGGAAGTATTATAGGGATTACTAAGGGGGATAACTAGGTGTTCAGACTATAGCTCACATGTACCCTGCCTTATGCCATCCTTGCAAAGCCTCCAGCAAAGAACCCACAATTATGTGAAGGATTGCTTCCGCCAGTCGTCCCTACCTAGTCCTCAACATTCATCTGGCAAATCCACTCTGAACCCCCTAACAAATTTACAGCCATAATACTAAATATTCTGCATGAGCGACCCTTTACATTGGGAGACATATCTACATTAGGGGTGGGGGGTAATATCAGGCCTTATCCCCAAATAATGAAGTTGTTTCCATTTCTTTTTCCATTCCTCTATACACCCCTAAACGACCGCGTTCGGCGGGGTGCGCAATATTGGTATGCAATGTAACCCTAAAACCCTGAGCTCTCCACGTACCCGTAAGTACCCCAGAGTCCATTTCACCATCCATCTGCTTTCCATTCGATGCTCCACCGTTAGTCCCCCCTAAACCTATATGCCCGTAATTATGTAATCCCTTGAGACCCCTTAAAATGGACCCTTGTGATTTAGCCTTCCGCCTCCCCCTATGTAGCAGCTGGCCAGCCTGGTCAACTTCCTTTTTTGCGGCAGTTGCCTGCCGCACAAACGCACACATGTTAAACACCATGCCCAAAGGGGCCACATAAGGGTGTATAGGGGAATGGAAAAGCGCATACAAAAATTGGAAGCTACTTTGTTGTTTAAAGCTGTTGGACTCTGCAAATTCTCACACCCTTGACGGCATTCACGCAGTTATGCCCCTAGTCCCTGTGCTAATTCAAATCTCGAATTGTGAAATGACCTTCTAGCGGTCCTGACGTACTCAGAAAAGGGACTGGAACTACAATGACAGCAGAAGTGTCACATCACGCCTGCAATCCCAAACATGTCATGCAACGACATCTGTCAATCTCGTAATTAGCAGCTAACAGGATGCTTCTGCTGGGGGTTGGGGTAACCTATTCCCTAAGCCTTCCCAGCTGGTCCTCCACGCCAGTACTAGGCGGACTCTCCACTTCCTAACCTTAACTTCAGAGGTCGAAAGACATCCCGTGAAAGTGGTGAGATACGGCCGTCGGAGAATCTAGTAACCCTAAGGGCTCAAGGACCGAAATAACAGAGTTTTAGGGCCCAACTAACATAACATAAATGGTATTTGGGCCCTGAAACCCTGTTATTTGGGTCCGTGGACCCTCAGGGTAATGCTCCGGTAAACCCTAAACCCTAAACCCCGAACTCCCTAAAGGATCCTCTCCTAACTCTTGCTTCCTGAAGTGTACCATGGTGTTTGCACAACATTTACAGGCTGACCTATAAGAAAGCCCTACTTGAAACCTCTAGACCCTGAACCTGAAACTCTGACATTACCTGAACCTTAGCCTTTAACATGCCGTCTTTGTGTAGTCACCCTGAGGGTTCAAGGACCCAAATACCAGGATTTTAGGCACCAAATACCATTTATATCAATGGTATTTCGGCCCTCAAGCCCTATTTTTGGGGGTCTTTGGGCCCTTGTATAGTCCCCATATGTCCCTATATATCCTCCCGTAACCCCTTTAAAGGGATCCCCTATTCTTCGGGTCCTTGGACCCTTAGGGCTCATAAACCACAGCCACACTGGAGCCTCTTGGCCCAGAGCCTCCTCCAAGGCCGCTGCCTTGCGGCAAAAGCCGTAGGCCATAGGAGCTACTGTCTAAACTCCTAGTATCCCCCTTAATAACCCCTATAGTAGTCCCCTATATAATCCCCTATATAACCCCTCATTAAGGAGTTTAGACTATGGCTCATAGGGGTTTAGGGTTTTTGAGGGTTTTGGGGCTTTACGGTTTTGGGTTTTGGGGTTTGGTGTTTAGGGTGTTGGGGTTTAGGCTTTGGGGTTTTGGGGTTTGCGGTTTAGGGTTCTGGGGTTCAGGATTTTGGGGCTTAGGGTTTAGGGTGAATACTTGGAGACTTAAGCTGATTTCAACCTAATTAGAAGCCTCCGATGTCCACTGATATGGCTAAACCTATGCTATAGGTACCAGCTATAATTGAATTTTAATAATGGTTATAATAATGGTAGTAATAATGCGCAGTAATCATAGAAGGTTGGAGGACAGGCGATGGGCTACCCACACCAAGACTGGAAACGGGACATGCCTTTTTAGGTGAGGCCCGGATTGAAGGGAAAAGGCGAGTTTCTTTAGGAGCACAGGCATTAAACAGCCTTGAATGACAGTACTAGATTGAAACAAGCTTGGGTTTTCTTTGGGTTTGGCGATGTAAGTTTTGAGGTTTGGACTTTTTGGACCTGAGGACCCTACTCATAGCGCATCGTTCTGCATACTAGTGTGCAGGCAGCAACCCTCGGGCTGCAAGTCAATATACCCTAAGGGTCCAAGGACCGAAATAACAGGGTTTTGGGGCCCAATTACTATAGTATAAATGGTATTTGGGCCCCAAAACCCTGTTGTTTGGATCCGTTGACCCTTAGGGTACTAGAACTAGTTCCAGCAACAGAAGCCATTCACTGTCTCCATACCGTCTCTTACACTACAATACAAGCCCATCTAGTTTTACAAGGCCCCTTAGTTTGGGGTACATGTATTTTGGGCAAATGCAATCGCGGCCCTCAAAACCCTCAACTTTGAACCCTAAGTCACCCTTAGCCCTTAAACTTAGTAAGCAACGGGCGAAGCATAAAGAGATCTCCCTATCTTTACCCAAACCTGATACATGAGACACATCCCGAACTACTTTAACGCCAAACCCTACACCCCTGCCATTATGGGCTATTAGACCCTAAAATTCCCTATTAGGACCCAAATAAGGGTAGATTAAGGTACCCTTAAGGTCTAATAGCCCACAGTGGTGAAGCCCAGAGTTTTAAAGAATCCGATTCCAATCCAATTCCAGAGCCCATCAGATCCGAGTCTGTTTCGCAAATCTCCCAGATAAAGGTTTCCCAGAAGTAGGGCTTTTTGGGGGTCCACATAATACGTATTATAGAGTTTACGGTCTATATTGGGGTCCACCTCTTTTGGGACACTACCAAGAAGCGCTACCACCATCCTCCTGTTGATTGAGCACCACCAACCTTCCACCTTGAGCGCTTAAGCGCTACATCCTCAACACACAAGGCTCAGAAGCCTCAGCGACACCTGCATCAATGTCCCGAAGCTTCTGCTTGTAGCTCTCCATGACCTCCCGAACAATCTTGCGCTCTGGTGCATGAGGCACCCTAATGTACAAGTCCATCTAATTTTCATGGTTCTAAATTCCTTGTAAAGGTACAGTACCCAGTACAGGGTATCTCAAGCAGACCTCTTTGTTTTGTTAACCTTTTATCTCCCTACAGGAAGCCCTATACCCTGAGGAGAAGTCGCATTAAGGTCGATACATCGAAATCATCGCATGGCTGTCCGGGGTTAGTATCTTTTAGGGTCCGGGGTTGAGGGCTTTAGGGTTTAGACCCTTAGAACACGAAGCCGTTATTTTGACTCAAGGGTGGTGCAAGGACTGTACAAGGACTCGGTTGAACAAGGACATGGAGGATATTCTAGTCTGCCTAGGTTCAAGAACACGACGATGGCCGAAAGCTGTGAAACGTGTCTAAGGGTTCCTTTGACAAGAAGGCTCCAAAGGCCATGCACATCTACAACTACCCCGCTGCACTTGACCAATGCAAACACCAATGGGCCCGTTTCCCTTTGACTAGACTAAGCGCTCATACAAAGCCCAAATGGGGGATTCTTTAGTCCTCATACCAGGGCCTTACACGAACCTTTCAAGTCAAGAGCCTTGGTCAACTGGACAACAAGTATTGTCATCGCTGAGGAAGTCTCTGGAAAGGTCTCCGTTCCAGACGAATGATGCGAGAACTCAGTGCAGAATCCCCAGGCTCAAGCTTTTTGCTTCCAAGGCCGGCGTCATTTGACATCTCCGTGCTTTGGCAATGGGCTGTCCTGCAGCAAGGACTATGCCCTCAAGTACATGCTGTGTTGTTGTCCACATTTGAAGTATACCACCAATATATTATAGTAGTTTCCGCTTTCTTTTCCATTATCCCAATATAACCCCAATGTAACAAATGTAGCAGCTCGGGCATTTCCAACTTTGGAATGCTTTTTGCATTTTTTTCACCAGCACTGCTACCACATGTGAAGTTCCCAAAATCAGGGGCACGTGTTCTGGCATGCTTATCGCACGGACGAGAGCAATTCATGGGTGAACATACAGGGACCATAATAAGTTGGGGCAGTACCCAACCGGCAAAAGCACATTAACCTGCAAGCCTTTATATTGGAATCGTCTCAAATAAAATGGAAACTACTATAGTATATTGGGGATATATTGGGATAATGGAAAATGAGTTGGAAACTCGAGTCTGGGTAAGGATGCATCATGGGGCCTCTAGACTCTAGGATCTAGGATTAGGCGTCGGTAAGCTGATCTGACATTTTGCTTTGGAGTATGGTTGGCGCCTGCGCACCAAGACGATTAGCACATGCACAAGATTGTATGCAACACCTGTATGTTATATCTGCAAAAAGACTCGACAGATTCCTGATTACGTGTGTAGTAGGTTTCTCTGGGTGTTGGTAATGAATGGTCATCAGGAACTGTGACTCATGATGTAAGTAAATCTGCTTCAAGGGCTTTACATCGGTGAAGAAACGAAATAAATTCTGCCCCACGACAAAGCCCTGTAACCACGGGTCCCGTGGTATCCCAAGCACGCTCTTCATTGTAAAGCACAACCTGCATTTTCTTTCCTGCTGATTTAGCTAAACATATCATATATCCGCTTGGAATACGGCTCATTTAGAAAAGATAAGCCCAAAGATAAGCTTCTTGCCCAGATCGATTTCACTCATTACTTGTGGCTCCACCCCCACACTAGGTTCCCCAGTCACCCCTTAACAATACAGGTACCCTGTGTCTAAATTGTTCAGCTTTCATAGGGAGACCCCAAAATTAAGGGGTAAAGGGTACTACTGGGGTAGTTAGGATATCCACAACACGAAAGGAAAGGTTTGTCCTCTTCGGACAAGCCAGGCGGGAGTACCAGCACCTGGACTACATGAGCCATAGTCTAAACTCCTGGTATCCCCCTGAGTGAGCCTATTATATTCCCCTACATACTCCACTATGTAATCCTCTTTCAGGAGTTTAGACTATGAGTCACATCATGTAGGGCCCAAGCTAAAGCATTTTCTGCAGGGTATATAGGGTTTACTGTACCAGTAGTGGAGAACCAAATTGAAAGAACATGGAACATGAGGTGGAAAGGGTCTCATTGTCCATGTTCTTTTCCAGTTGGTTCTCCATTACCGGGCTAACCTTGATAATTTTTAGGCCTCTTACTCAGGCTACCTTTTTGGGATGTCTTCATGTCTTCATCACGAGGCACTGCAATAGGGTCTCTTTACGGATTCCAAACACCGGGGGTCGGTTCCAGGGTTTTCGGGCTTAGGGCCTTTGAGCCAATCTTGTTTGGTTTAGGCCAGAGGAGGGTTGAAGAAGAGTTAGACATGCAATCTTCTTGAGGCAGCACTGGTTGTGGGTAGAAGAAGAGCAACGCCCTGAGCAAGTGAAATTAAGGGATACCAAGAGAATCGGTGGTCGAGTCAGCAAAACTCGGCTGAGATTCATTGTCTGTACAGTCTACAGGTTATAGTTGATTTGGCCCTATACCCAAAAGCCTACATCCCATGATATGGGCGAACCAATATTGATCGTAAGATTCTAACCCGAAACCAGGAACCCTTGGCCCCACCGAAGCCTCCAGCCAAAAGCTGTTTGGTCAAAGCTCGACCCGGTAGACCACATACATCCACCAGCGTGGAATTTCGGATGGGGCTCGGATAAAAGGAGGGATCTCTTTTGATTAGCGTAATGCTTTCTGTAAGCGACCCTCCGTCCTGTGGCATATATGTTGAAGCCCGACCTGCCGTAAGCTACCATAGCCGAAGGCAGCATTGTTCTGGTGTCATCGGCCACAAGCCCCTAAACCCTAAACCCTAAACCGCTCCCCAAAACCCAACATGGAATCCCCAAAGCCGGGCCTATACAGACGACTCACTAATGCACTGTTGTAGTACAAGCCAGCCCTGGAGGAAAGGGCATGGGTTGCTGTTAAGGAACTTAGATCAAGTTAACATAGTGGGTACCTGTAGTAATTAACATGGTTTTCCCCAAGATAGCAACTTAAACCAAGTTCCTCAGCAGCAACCCAGTAGTTTTTTAGGGTCTAAGATGATTTAGGGTTAGCTGGCATAACCCCAAAGCTGGTCGGTGACCCACTGAGGCTACTGCCATGGCAGCTGCATCCACGTCATCTCCAATGCCGCATCCACGGATCCTCATCATTTCTTTGGAGGTTCATGTGAGCCTTGGACCAAGGTTCTAGTCTCGTCCTTAACGGTCCCCCCTAAACCCCCCCCCATGCATCCCTGCACGTCCCCCCAACCTAACTTCAGTCTGTGGCCCATGTATAACAAGGTTTCGGAGCAGATTGGGGGATATACTGTAGGGATTCGATTCGGTTTGGGGATGATGACTTCCGTGGAGCTTCAAGAGAGTTTCTACTTGTAACTGGGTTCACAACCCAAAGTCTGAGTTCCTAGGAAGTCCCATGAACCAAGGGGGGGGGACCCCCAACATTAAAGATGGTCAAACATTATCGCGGGGGAAGTCCCATGAACCATCAAGTTCAAACCATTTGAGTAACCATCTGAGCTTTCTGCTCCCGGAGGGAATAGATTTGAAACTACCTAGTAAGATAATATTCCTTATATAAAATACTATACCCCCAAAAGAGGATATAATCTTACTCTATATTGGGTACCATAGTATCCCCAAATAAAGTACTACTCAGATGACCCTAGACTGCTTCGGCTTTCAAAGCCCTAAACCCTTGACCGCGCGGGTGGTGGCCCCCCAGACTCAGCTTCTGGGGCGCTATGGCCACAGCCATGGACCATTCTGAGTAATGTAGACCCTAATATTGGGGTTATATTGGGATAATGGAAAAGAAAATGGAAACTACTATAACGGGGTTATATAGGGTTTAGGGTTTAGGGCTCAGGATTTAAGGTGTAGACCCATGATTAATAAACCCCCCTCCTTTTAAGGCCCAAATATTAGGATCCCTATTATAATCCCTGTTAAAGGGGGGGGGTTTATTAATCAGGGGTCTGGGTTAGTAATCTAAGCCCTAACCTTACTGGGGTTATGAATATATCATGTAGGGGTGAATCTGCTATGTAGGGAGAATCTTCCCTTATCCCATAGTAACCCCAGGAAGTAAACCTCAGATGAAACTTTCGACTTTGTGGGACCAGGTTTTCAAGTTTATGAGTTTACCATGGAATTATCTAGGCTTCGGTGCTTCAAGCAGTATTGGAGCAATGCAGCAATCACTTCCCAAAGGATCCGAAATTCCTTGACGAAGTGGTCCCTTCTTCTGGGCCCAAGTGTACGCCACATCTCTGTTGCTGAAGCCATTGGGGGAAGTCTTTTTTGGCACTGGTCTCAAACACTAGCCCCGCACCATCAATCCCAAACTCTGAGCCCTGCACCCGAACCCCACACCTTGTATACAGCCTGTAACCCCATAAATCCCGTAAATTCTGCAAACCCTAAACCTGAATCCGAAGCCGAGCTTTGTATCTTAACTTGCTGACTCGCAGCCACGCCGAAGCGGGGCATCGGCCTCGATAAACAATCCCCAGCTGAAGGTTTCAGCTTCAGGCTTGCGGTTCAGGGTTTTGGGGCTTGGGGTGCAGGATTCAGGGTATGGGATGTGGGGTTCAGCGTTCAGGATTCGGGTTGCGGGCTTGAAAAATGAAGCCGTGTTGGTCGTATTTCTTGTACAAAAGCACCATTTGTGGTAGGGCCAGGTGATGTCCCTAAACCCTAAACCTGATTCTTGGAGAGTCGCAAAGCGTCGTGACATGCCTAGGGAGCCAAATGCAGACTATTCAACGGGCATACTCTAAGTGGATAGTCAAATGGAGAAGAACATGGAACGTCAAACAGAAACTGAGCTTACGCAATTTACATGTAAGTTTTTTGGAGATTGAACACCTTCAAGGAAACTACCTTAAAACAGCTTAGGAACCCTAGTTGATTCAAGGTATCTTCCTCAATACGCATAGACTGCGCTCTTTGGGTATATGGCTATTAGCACACTTGACAGTACTGCCGAACCGCACTATGTGGCAAGGCAAGTCTTACAAGGGTCTATTCGCCCAAACCCTATACCTGAAACCCTAAAACCTACGTTGTGGTCTGGTCTACAGTACGCATAAGATCGCACGCCCCGGGATAATCCCTGACAACCCATCCCTTTATTCCCTACTAAGGGTTTAGGTTTTACGGTTAGGTATGCATACTTAGAAATCATGACAAGTACAGCAAGTCCTGGTGTTGACATCTTCTGCTCCCCACCGAGCAACAATCGTGACCACTAGCTCAAGCTACATGCATTCCCCACAAAGGCAGTAGCCTCATATGCTTGGATGGTTTCCCTAGCGAAGGGGAATTGTTGTCCATTCCCCTCCTACCTTAAACTAAATGCGTACCTGGTACATATATATTACGTATAGATATGATAGATATGTAACGTGTATATATATATATGCCTGATAGATAAATAGATAGATAGATACATAGAACCTCTTTGTAGATAATGTTTAGCATTGAGGGTGAGGGCTTGTGTTCAATCTTGGGAGGAATCAATGCCGAAACAGCACACAAACCCTAAACCCCTCTAAACCCTTAAACCCTAAACACGAAACCCCTAAACCCTGAGCCCCTGACCCCTAACCACTAAACACCCCCACTAAACTCCCCTTGCCAGGGAGCCTTCTCGGAAGGCTTGTACTGCCCACTGCACCGGCAGCCGGGGGCCCTGCCAAATTGGTACGAAGACGTTTGGGAAGGCGGCGCTAGTAATAAGCCCTGTAGTAGGGGTTACTAAGGAGGATACTAGGAGTTTAGACCCTACTTGTAGAGGGCCTTAGGCCGAAAACCGAAGCCTTACCCAGAAGTACTCGAAATTTGGTTCGAAGCTCGGTTCGAAGCTCTACTTGCGTACTTGTATCTACATATTTGGGGTGCAAGGCGGTGCCACAAGTCAGAGAAAATGCTCTCGTAATCTTTGGTGGCCAACAGTAACTCGAACCAGGGCACAACCTATGTCGGTGTAGCCACGTCGGCCTAGGGTGTTTCTCAAAATGGGGCTGCCCTTGGGGAATCGGGGATAGAATATGGGGTTTATGGGAAGATAATGTTATGGGCAAGCTCCCTTACTTAGCCAGTATAGCGCATTCAATGCAGCCCATTGGCACGATTTGGGCTCTGAGCGTTTGGGGTTTATGGGCTTCGGGCATTTGGAAATCTATGGCTTCCTTGCTGTCGCGCTGCCAAATTACAACAACAAAACAAGGCAATATCTGACACGCCTCGTCAACCTCCTCAACCCTAAACTCTAAACCCCCCAAACCTCAGAAGCTTAAGCCTTGATTACCCATCTATGAAGCCTGTTTCAGTTCTCCGTCATGCTGGGAAGTTACCAGGGTCAAACAGACGTGCTTGGGAGCTCATAGGTCGGCATAACTGCTTGTTGTTAGGCTGTCCCTACACGGTTTCTAGGGTTTACGCATGGTTCCCTTCATGACAGGTAGGGTTAAGCCTCAGCTAAACATAGTCGCGTAGCTTGATGTACTCTAAACCCTAGACCCCGCTAACCCCTGAACCACCCACACAAGCTATAGAGCCTAGAAAACCCCATAAGTAAGTCCTGTAACTGTTAGAAATTCCAATACCCCAGGGCCCTCCTCTCAGACTTTAATTAGGGGTCTATGGTCACTATTTAGGGTATAAAGAGGATGGGCGCAGAGTCTATAATCTGATAACCACCGGACAAGACTATAAACGTCACTGTAGAGCCTGAATGATTACCAATATTACCGACCTAGGTTCTATCTGTATTATAGTCAAGGAGCTCAAAATGATGTTGGTAATTAAGGCTCCTACGTTACATAATCGTTACAACTCGCTACATTCACGGCAATGCTCCCTTCTTGTGATTGTAAACTGCCGGTACCATAAATCCTATGTACCATGCATGATCACTACTGAGCCATGAACAAATGCAAAGCGCAGACTATCCTAGTGTTCATTTCATGTTCCATTTTGGTTCTACTATATTGGGAAAATTTGGAAATCATTGTCCCCTACATCCGCTGAACCCTACACCAAAAGCCCTAAACCCTATAACCGTAAACCCTGAACCCTAATCCCTGCACCCTAAGCCCAAAACCCTATACTCTAAACCCTAATCCCAAACCTAAACCCTGATCCCTACACCCTAAGACCCTAAATCCTGCAATCCTTCAAGCGGCCTGGGACCAGAGGTTGGAGGTCCCCAGCAGCACGAAGCCGCGACCTTCAGCTGGATGCCTCAGGCATTGGACAATTCTAAGAAATTCTGGGCCTCAGGCTTTGGAAATTCACTCAAAAATTGCAACTTCGGTGGTTTCTTAGGAATGTTGACATCAGATTTTGAGAAAGATCCAGGAACTTCCAGCAGAAAGGATAAGAAGAGCATTTTGGTAACCAAGAAGAATGGATCACCGAAAGGGAAACAAACCGACAACGGTTTGGCACGTAAAAAGTTATGGTAACAGAAGATGTGTTAACCCCCCACCACCAGAGCAAGAAACTAAAGGGATACTCTTAGGGTCCTAATCATGCGGGTTGGGGTTACCAAGATCCCCTCAGAAAGCTTTAGGGTTCAGGGTTCGCACTTAAGGTTCCTAGCGGGGTGTTAGGGGTAAGGGTTTAGGGTTCAGGGCTCATAGCTATAGCTCGGGGAGGCTGGGTGGTAGAGCTTAAGCTTCTAGATGTAGCTGGCAGTAGGGGGACTTAGGTGTTTAGGCTTCTGGGCTTCGGAGTACAGCAGGTTTGTGGTTTGTGCTAAGGTTTCCGGGCGCAGGGTGATCGGTAGCGGGTAGAGGGCTTTGGCATGTAGCTGCCTCAGCCCGAGAAGTTGAGGAGTTGGGGTCAAAGTTTTAAGCTGATTGCTTTCGGGGCTACCATGTTAAGAAGCCATGACCTGATGCTCCTTAGTGGGTGGTAGTGGAATAGAAGCCCAAAAACACACAATGTCCGAATTTGACCCAGTTCAGGTCTTGGATCGTTGCTATCAGGGTGTGTTCACGTACGGACTCCCACATGGACCTCAATGCGAGAGATCTTCAACTTACAACTTTAGAGCCGCTTACCTGAGCTGGGTGCTGCCAAGGCATGTGCTCCGAAGCTTGGGGGCATAGAGGTTGTGAGACCGATGGATTCGAAGGGCAACTAGATCCCCACAAAAACTGCTGTCTTTTTCAACGGGGCCTGTTGCTGGTGCCATGCTAGGTGCTAGTTTAGAGTAGGGTAACTGCAAGCTTGTAGGGGGTGTCAAAACCTTGAACTGCTACAAGTATTAACATGTGATGGGCTGCTATGCTGGTTGCAGGCAATCTCGCACCACTTCACATCCCCAACGAATTGCAATCCTTGGGGCAGAAGGCGGGTTTAGGTTTTAGGGTTCAGGGTGCCCACAAAGATGAAGACACCGGCTTGTTGCATGGGCCAAGCCATGCTGGCGGTTCTTGGTGCTATACTTCCCTTTAAATAGATAAAATATAGGTTATATGGGGATCTTATTATAATATACCCAAAGCCATATGCTATCTACTTGAGGGGACTATACTTTAGGACACGGCATTATAGTCTGCGCGGTCTATGCAGGCAACTAAACCAACTCCAGGAGTATTTCCTCATAGCCCTTGTACAGCTAATGTAGATTTTTAAGGGCCTAAATATCAGGATCCCTGTTATAATCCCATTAACTACATTATACTAGAATACATTTCCCAAAAGCTGATTCTAGTAATGGAGCCACTCCTCCTCAAGCACTGATAGGTACATGAGGGTCTAGCGTGTGTAGGGTTGCGGGAATCTTGGATGATAGGGCGTAGATTCCCCGGTGCTTTGAAGCACCAAGGTTTCTTAATTTGGGATACTTGGAGGATCTAGGATAATGTTGGACCCTAAACCCTAAACCCTAAATCCCTAAACCCTAAACCCTAAACCCTAAGGACCTTGCGGGACCCGCCTGGGATTGCACAGGAATAATTTGGAGAACCTCCCTTATTTCGGGTTCACCAATTCACGCAGTCTGGTGGCGGTGCCCGGACCACGTCGGGAATGGCGATGAGGCCTAGCCGCAATGACGTGGTAGACTACGGCACTGTTGTCTCCATTTGAAAGGCAGGCTAGGCTTTCAGGCAGTGTGCTGTGAATATATGATGGCAAGTTTAGGAAGCATGGCGGCATCGCTTTCCGAATCCCCGTTGCCAAAGACAGACTGCCCTTATTCAATCCCTGTCATATTCAAATAAGCCCCATGGCAAGCAGGATATGTTCAAGATAGGAACCAATGATCCTTCACACATCATGCGTGCTAGCGTCCCTGGCCTCATTCTTAGAGGGCTCACAAGTACCTCATAGTAGGCTCCTGTGTAGCAGAAATCATATACCAAGACCCTCCTAGTACCCTTAATTGGGGATATATGGTCCCTAATAGTGGGTACTTAGGCCCTAATAGAAGATAGGTGGAGGGTCTAGGTAGCCATATAGTCAACTAGGCTCCGACAGGGATATGTTCATCTCTCCCGGAACCTGTAAACAAACAAGTAGAAGCAAAGCTGCCCGTGGAAAAGGTCCCGTTCCCTAGTCCCTTTTTGAAGCAGTAGTCATCAATAGTATTTCAGCTCAAGATTCTACTGCTTGCGTAGCGAAAATTCCCGAAATCCTAGATCACTAAAAGAAAACCAAAAAAAACTAAACCCTCAAACACTTACAGCCTCCGACCACCTCAACCAGATATCCCTGCCTGGCTGCGAAGCCTTCTGCGTCTGGCCACCTAGGAATCGAAGAACTGGCGGAAGGGGCCCAACACCTTGCGTCAGCTGGGTTGCTGTTGAGGGACTTTAAAGTAAGTTACCATAATGGGTATATGTAATAAAACAATAAGGCTTCCCCAATATGGTAACTTAGTTAAGTTCCTTAACAGCAACCCAGCCAGGGGAGGTCCAGCTTGAGGGTTCATGGACCAGTGTTGCATGACGTGGCGTGTCTGAGGGCTAAGGGGTCAAAGCCAGTGGTTTCCTGCAGCGAAGTTGGCAAGCATTTCTCAATTGCCATTCGACTAGAAATCGTGATCAGCACGTAATTTGCGACAGTAAAAGTTGAAGAGCGGCAGCAACGGCGGAAAGAGCGGCGGCAGCAGCAGCAGCGAGAGCATCTAAGTAGAGCAAACTAAATCCACTACATTGAACGTAAACGCTGATGCCGGGATCGCATTTGTGCCTATTCAGGCTTCCACGCTATAGCAACAAAGTCGTCGCCTGTGTCCTTCAGACGAGCCAGCTCCGCAGTGTTGCGGGCGCTGTGGGGAACGGATACCTTTCACAAGTTCACCCCAAGGTTTGAATAATGGGCCCCTAGTATGGGCCCTTATAGGGTTTAGGGCCCTTATAAGGGTTTAGGGTTAAGGGGTTTCTACAGGGTCCTAAAATACCCACAAGCCCAATTAAGGACCCATGGTCAGGCTCAGGGAACAGGTAGGTGCCCGTATTAGGGGCCCATGCTTAGAGCCCCACTTAAGTAGGTAGAATATGGTAGAATATGTATTACGTGGTGATCTTCTTATGGTATTGGGCAGTTGCATAATCTATCTACTTAAGGTGGACTATAGATATACGATATACTTCGGGACCTATGAAACATCCGTAGATACATGGACCCTTTGTTGCTTTTCAAGCTTTGCAAGCAACACGGTTCAGTGTTCAGGGTTTATGGAGTGTTTGCAGGGTTTAAGAAACCTCCACATGCAATCGAAAGCCTTCTGCAGGAATAAACCGGATTTCTGAATCAACACCCTGACCCAAAAGTGCTGATCCCATCTCCGGCCTCATCGCACCAGACTGTGTCGCCGTCATCCGCCTCTGTTCCTACAACACAGCGAGCCACGCCCACGCTGCCGACATAGACCCCACTCCTGGAGCAGACGTAGGCGCCCAAGATCAAAATGTGTGAGCTACTGTCTAAACTCCTAGTATCCCCCTTAATAATGGAGAATCAAATGGAAAAGAAAATGGAAAATGAAATGGAAACTGGGATTATAGACAGGATTATAGGGGTTATGGTCTAAACTCCTAGTATCCCCCTCAATAACCCCTATAGTAGTCCCATATATAACCCCTATATAACCCCCCTTTAAGGAGTTTAGATTATGGCTCATATAAGTTCGCCCAAGTGAGGCTACCATTGCCTGGAGGTTCAGCGTAATTATAACCCAACTTAACCTAGAATTACAAGTATCACAATATCAGGTGACTTAGGGGGAGTGCAAGCGGGTCGCACGTACAGATGTATTTGCGTCAATGTGAGCAATCCGTTGACGGGATCATGCGAGTCCATTATAAACCCTAAACCCTAAACCCTTTAGACGGCAATTCAAGATGCAAAGCAGGGTTCTGAATGGAGATTTTGGACTTTAAATCAAATGGAGAAAGGGACAACAAACTGACCAATGAAATGGAAACTGGGATAACACAGGGGTTGTAGCGATTGTAAAACAATGTCTGCAAACAACTTTCACTGGTCATTACCTGGGGCTTGGGGAACGTATCTGACCTCATCTGAGAGCTCCAAACTAACATGAAGGCCAAACAAGGGCGCAACACTATCCGTTTTCATTGCCAGAATATGTGGAGTTTTTCGTGTTAGTTTGGTGTAGGCTAAGTTTCGTTCGGTCCCGAAGTGCAGGCAAATCTGTTCCCTGTTATAATGCTTTCGAAAGCCTTTGCAAATCCTTTTCGATGCCCCTGGCTTATCCAGTCGGAAGGCCAAACACTTAAACAGATTTCCCGTCCAAACTGATCACGATGTCCGAAATGTTGAAACCTTGCTTCCACATTCACACCTGGAAGCCCCCTTCAACTCCATGCTGTACTTCTCCAAAGTGGTGGCCTGGCGATAATGCATAGCACAGCCGACAATGGCTCCTTCGCAGAGCCTAAACCCTAAACCCGTTCGGGCTGTTGGTCTTTTCGACAGAGGCAGGGTTGCGTCAGCCTGACGACGCTTCACTTCAACTCCAGGATGCTAAGTGTTTGTAGCTTACCCTAAGGGTCCAAGGACCCAAATAGTAGGGCATTGTAGGGCCCAAAATACCCTAAATATTATAGTATTGGGGCCCTAAAACCCTATTATTTGGGTCCTTGGATGGTCGTTGAACCCTGAGGGTTATATTACGGTATAGGGTTTCGACTTTGAGGTTCAGGACTTGGGTTGACAGCAGTGTCGCGACTGCATGTGGCGCATGCTTTCCTCCGATTTATCTGCTGGGTAGACGGAATGTGGCTATAAGGGAGGTCTCGTGCTTATGTTTTTGCTAGTACTTGGTTGGATTATGACCTGCCTTTTGAGTCCTTAGCTAAAGTGGTGAATGTTTCGGCGGAAGAAATACAGGGCGAGAACGTCCAGGTTTGAAGTTAAGCGTTCTTGGGTTTAGGATTGCTCAAGGCGTCCTTGCGTTTGCTGTAAAAAATGCTTATGGCTTCGATAGCCTGGCCGTTTTACTAGGGCACCCTACTGGTAAACAGATTTCTATAGCCTCCTTGGACTGAGGACTCCCAGCGTCCTTATGAGATCCCTGCAGATCCCTACTTTGCAGGGTCCGGGGGTTTTCGTAAGTAGATTAAGAACAACAATACTGTCGGGTGAGTGTAGCTCCGAATCTCTGCACGAGGCCTCACCGAGACGCTCGTCGCAGCCAACGAAAGCAGCAGTCAGGGCCTCCGCATGTTGAGAGTTCAGGCGTTACTGGATTACTGGATAGTAGTCCCTCTGAAGTATGGGAAACCAGCGAAAACGGAGGATCTTGCGGCGTTCTCTCAGTCTTTAGACTACAGCGGTTGTTTCTTTATAGGGGGTGTTCTACCGAACCTTCCATCCCTTTCCCGTTTGTAGGGCTCGCATGAGACAGGTAGGCTTTGACTAAGGTTTGCAAGCTGTCCACTTTAATGTTTTGATGTTATACCACCTACCGCGCAAAGCTCACACACATTCACACAAGCGTCCCACATCAACGGCAAACGTTTTTTCTGTTTCCCGTTTGCCAAAGTAATTCCACAACGAAACATGGCCATAGGGCAGTTTCGGAAAACAAGGGGCCCACCACTAAACCCTAAACCCGAAGTCCTTCTTGCAAGCAACCCCAACAGGGAGCCGGAAATCTTAGAATCGCCTAATACGAAGCCCCGGCGCACCATGGCATATCCTTTATCTTGGGTTGCACCCCACGCATACCCGAATGTAGATTCACCCGTGCATTTCACATTTCACTTGAATGCCTGCTTATAAACGGCAAGCAGCAAGTCTATAACCCTATTGCCTAGAGCTCTGCACAACGCAAGCCACAAAACCTGCACAAGGGATAAGGATTTTAAGTGTGCCTTGGGGTTCCCACATGAAAGAAACAAAGATAGGCTAAACGACGAGCGTTGCGAACTGTCCACAACGCTGCATCTGGTCTTAGTAAGTAATCACCCTAAACTTCAGACCATGGACACGCCATAGACTTTACGGATACAACAATGATGTAGGAGCCCTAGCTGAGAAGCCGGATCGCTTTAAGGGACTACCGCGTACAAGTGCCCCACACCTCAATACCCAAAGCTCCTAAGCCCGACTCATTGCAAAGTTCTTTCTATGCCACAAGAAAAACCAATGCACTGGGCCTCTGCCCACGCCACAGCTGCAGCTTCCGTTTCCTGCAAATTCATCAACAAACAGACTTCTTTTGCGGCCTGATCTATTTCGGGGCTTTTGGACGTAGAGTGGACTCCTCAATACCTCTATATAGTAGTTTCCTTTTTCTTTTCCATTATCCCAATATACCTAAACCCCAAACCCAAAACCCCAAACCCAAACCCAAAACCCTCACCCTCCCAACCCAGGCTTGAGGGCCCAGGACGCCCCGACGCCACCCAGAAACGCCAAACAAGTAAAAATAAATCAGCCCCTAGGAACCCTTTCGCTCCCTGAATCCTCTTTACACATCCCGTTGCTGGGTCGGAGGGCTGAATTCAAGTCTCATGTAGGGCTATACTGGCTGGGATGTTAACACGGGGACTACTATCTACTTAATCACCTGATCCTAAAGCCCCCAAACTAGCCTGGAAGCTGAAACGGGGGCTATGTGGGGTTCCATGTTAGTTTGAGGGGGGGGGATTTATATACCCTAAACCTAAACCTTATGCCTTCCTTATACTATCCTCTGCATAAGCCCTAGAGAGCCCCTTCACAGGGTAGTGGTTAGAAACCCAAGGGTCTTTCCTGGTTGAAACTAGCACCCAACCTACCTACAACACATATGAACCCAATGCATAACCACAATTTCCATTTGACGTTCCATCTGATACTCCATTATTGGAATAAAATCCGTACACCCCAAACTGTAACCCTAAGTCCTATAATTCCTAAGCCCTAAGCTCTATAAGCCATATACATTCTTGCTGGCGTCACCCCTGCTTCCTCCAGCTGCCCGCCACCTGGAGCAGGCCGCGCCCAATGGGGTACCTGCCAGGAGTCGGGGCGGGATTCTGAAGATAGGGGCCAGTTGTACACTTGTATAAATAAATTAATAAATATATATATATGTATAGAGGTTGACAGGGAAGGGCCGTAAGCCTTTCGCCCCCCCCAAACCTCCTGGCGTTTGAGAGAAGATTTCGTGGTGCTGTTTTCTGAAATCTGACTGTTGGAGTATATGGGCTATAGTCTAAACTTCTTAAAGGGTGTTATGGGGGATTATCTAGGAGAATATTGAAGGGGGTGTTAAGGGGGATGCTGGGAGTTCAAACTATAGCTCATATGATATACGTGCGGCTTCGCTAGAGTTTCGAGGCTGCAAGCGAATCTTGACAACAACCCTGACAAATCCTTCAACTGCTGTGGACGGAGGAAAATCTTGCACCATCTTATGCTCAATACCCTACTTGGAGAGTCATGGGGACTTAGTAAGTAGGTTAATAACCCCTAAAACCCATAGAATAATCCTAATTACCCCCATTATTAACCTACTTTCTAACTCCCCATGACCCTCCAAGTAGGACCCCAAGAACTACAATGTACTGGGGATCCCGGGGAGGCAGAGATTTCCTTTACCCAGAGGGTCCAAGTACCCAATTATGAGGTACTTGGGTTTTGGGTAATAGTAATTATAGTCTAGGTTTTGGGTAATATTATAACCCTATGTAACCCATTATAGTAGTTTCCATTTTCTTCTCCATTATCCCCATATAACCTTAGGTACTTGGACCCTTAGAAATATCCTACCTGGTCCCCTTCTGCCTCTGCGAGGCCCTGGACGTAGGCCCGTGCTGCCAGAATTGGTAGCGCCTTCGTGCACAGGGTTTACCTGGACCCCCAATGTATGTAGAATAATGGCCTTTTGGGCTACATTTAGGTGGTTTGGGCCATTATTTTACCTACTTTGGGGGTTTAGGTAGGGCTCAGGTAGCAAGACTGCATGGGTTTAGGGTAACCAAGATGTGGAGCACGCAGCTCGAAGGTCGGATCATGCAAACACATCTTGCAATGGCGGATCTAAATCCCTAGCCCAGAGTACGTACTTTGTTCATGTTATACATGAAATAGACCTGAGGGCCCACTGCAGGCATAAGGTATAGACTTAGACAGTTTCAGGAATTTCCTACTGGCCCCGCTACAGGTCAGACCCGACAGCTCGTGATGCCTTCGCGGCAATGGCAGCTGCGGGACCTGTCAGGCGCGTGAGGACTCGTTGCTGGGTCTACATGGCACTTCACATGAGTCAGGGTTATAAGGCATACGCACGGGTCCCTATATTAAGGGTTTTAGTATTTGGTGGAGCCCCCTTGTTTTGGGAAGGTACCATATGAGCTACAGTCATCCTTTCCCATATTCTTCATGGACATGGGTTCCTCTTACGGAAGATATTCTCAACTATAC